CACAGTGATGGTGACTTTGTAAAGGCTCCTGCCCCGGTTCTACTCACCTTACTGGCTCTGCTTCGCAGCTCCTGCCTGCCATCCAAGGTGTCGGCCATTAAAGAGGAACTTCACCCTGCTTAACTAACAGAAAATCTTAAATCCCTAATAATTGTCCCTTTATGAAAAAAAAATACTTGTTCCATGGATTCCAGAATTGTTCTCCTTGCACGGCTCTGCTCCTGTGTCTCCCTCTTGAACCGAGATCCTGCGCAGGTCACTGCGGGTCTCCGCCAGGTCTATAGGCTCCAGTACAGCCAGATACAACGCAGTAATCCCAGGAAAGGTTCTGTACATGCCGTAGGACCGTAGGTCATCTGCAGAGTTTATTATTGATTCATACAAAAAGCTCCAGAAAAGCACAGTGGTGAGCGGACTGCAGGTCTCTTCTTCAAGCAAGCTTTTAGCAGATGATGTCCAGAGATTAAAGGGAAACTCTTCTGCTATGTTAAGACTTCTTGATGTTGTTGGAGTTCCTTTCGTGATGTTTCGAAACAAGCGCCTCCCCTAGCTGCATCTTTTTGCTAGCCCTTTGGGGGGTGGGGGAGGGGGTGTCACGGAGCCGGCCCCTAGGACAGGGCTGGGGAGGGAAAGCAGGCAGGGCGCACTTTTATTTTTCAATATCACCATACAATTCCAAATGATGAAATGGAACTGATTTTGTAACTCAGGTTTATGACTTTCGGGTGAATGCCGGGTCACCTTGGCCATTAACTCTACCAGACCTGCTTGTGTTTATATACTTGTCCACTGGTGACAGATGAGTGCCAGGTGACATGCCTTTAATTAGGGACAACTGTAAAAGGCTTAGTGGCGATTTGGGACTCTCACTAGTGCTGGGGCAATAAAGATCCTAGGCCAGATAAGCAGATCTGTGGAATGTGAAGTGACCTGCAAATTACTAAATGCCGGCCTGCATTTGCTCTGAACTGAGGTGCAAGAGAATGCTATATTTAATATTATCAGACTCAAATCCCATTATCATCACAGTGACTACTTTACAACACACACAGGGACCATGGGGAACATAAGTAGCCCCCCTCCAGAAGGAAGGACAGTGTCGGCACCAATTCAGAGATGATTTGAGGATCTACAGCCGAGTGATACACAAATAAGTTACGCTTTTGTTCATAGTTCGGGCACTTTAAAGCCACAGACACTCCCATTAACAAAGAAACATAATGTACAGTATGTACTTCCAGATCCAGCAGTGACAATACCATTAGTGTGATATACAACGGGAAACAATTTGTGGGTTGCTGCAATTTGATTTCTCTGTAATCAGCACCATATTTACAGCAGAATTATAAGGTACTTCTCCCCGAACCAAGTTATTATTTCTGTTAATTGAATATTGAGTGCTTTTGCACAGTATATAAAAGGATCTTGCGATGCTCAGTGTTTTTCTTCACCCTTGCAAGGTATCAGCATGGAGTTTCCGGACCTGGGGAAGCATTGTTCAGAACCAACGTGTAAACAGCTAGGTAAGATTTCTCTTGATAAAAGTGTTTGCATTAAAGCCCAACTCCGGGCACAATATCCTTTCAAACATAATTGCTGTTAAACTTTCCTTTGCCTCAGAAGCAACCCTCTGCCATGCAGGCTTTATTCTACATCTGTCAAATCTGGGCTCTTGGGAGATGTAGTTCTGGGAGGTGTGTATATTAGTAGGAACTGACCTCCTAGCAGCGGTCTCTGCGAGTATTTAACCAGCCGTGTGATTGTATCACAGGCAGTAATAAAAGCTGTATCTTGCTACAGGAACAAGGTAAAAAAAAAGGCTGTCCTCTCTAGAGGAAGATAAGGTTGGAGGGTACAATAGGGTCATGTCTATACAAATCCTTTAAAGGAGAACTATGGCCCAACCTTTTTTGGCAATAGTTCTCTTTAGGGTCACAGGAGGACATTTACTAATTTCCTCCTGTAACCCAAAACTCAGCATATAGCGGGCTATTGCCCACTATATGCTGACAGTGCAGAGCCGTGCTGCGGGCAGGACGGATCCTGACATTATTATTGGGATCCACTCTGCTACCTGATTGGCAGCTGGCTCTGCCGCTCTATAGACAGAGCCAGCTGTGAGGCAGAGCCCGCTGTGCCCGCTCCTTCCCCCATTCGCTCCTCTAGTCAGCACTGGAGGACCGTAGAGAAGGGAATACCTGCGGGGAGCGGTCACTGACAGTCACTACTCTCTGCAGGGAGAAGATTGGGAACTCCATGATCAGTGGTATGTGATTGGTCAGTTCTTGTTCTATAGAACCGACGTGTGACACTGAAGCTAATTATGGGGAAGAGTGTATGTCACTCTCCCCATAATTCTCCTTTAAAGTGAAATTGTATTTAGAAAGTGAAGAATTGCTATGTTACAGGGAACATTTAGACATGTTAATTGGGTCTAACAAGTACCCTAAAACATGTACCTTTGTCTGGACTTCCTCTTGTAGTGCACTTCCTGGTTGTGAGTGTGTCTAGGCTGTCCTGTGCCTACAGCCTCATAGCTATATATCTGCAGTGTGAGATCTAAGGCACGGCTGCCTCTGACATCTAGTTTCAGGAGATTAGGTGTGAGGCTTGGTGATGTCACTAAGGTGCTGCTCCCTCTTATCTTTGCTGGAGCTCCATGAGGAAGCAAAGCCCTGCCTTCCCAAGATGGCCACCTCCATACAGAGACACGGAGCAGAACAAGGCATGGCAAGTCGGTAATGGGGAAAGGATCAGTTTCAGGGAGACCTCAGATAATACTGGTGACTCCTTTTGTCTTGCCTGCTCCAGACACAGCTTCAGGAGTTCAGTTCCTCTTTTAGGGATGTACACATTAAAGGAGAACTATATGGTTAAGGCTTTTCCCCATAGTTCTCCTTAGGGTAACGGGTGGACACAAACTAGCGTCCTCCAGTCACCCTAGGCTCAGTATACCGATAGCTGCAGCTCGCGGTATACTGAGACGCCGCAGCTGAAGCGGATCCCTACAATTGTGCCGGGATCCGCCCAGCTGCGTGACTGACAGCTGGCTCTGCCTATCTAGAGGCAGAGCCAGCTGTACCCGCCCCCTCCCACGTCCGTTCCGCCAGTCAGCGCTGGCAGATCGGAGCGGGGAGGAGGGAATCCAGCCCCTCCCGTCACGACAGAGAGCCGTGACAGGATCGAGAGGTGAGCGAACGCTGGTATGTGTTCGCTCACTTCCCGATCTACTGAGCCGACCTGTGACAGTCTCATTGTCACAGGTTGGCTAGAACTATGAGGTGAGTGAAAAGCCCTCACCTCATAGTTCTCCTTTAAGATTTGGCTTCATGAATATATGGCACAGTATTCCGTATTCACCTTTATCAGTATTTACTGTTTTGTTTTTTCCTGATTTTTTTTTTTTTTTGCAGATTTCCTACCTCTAAAATGTGACGCTTGTGAGCAGATCTTCTGCAAAGACCACATCACGTACGTCCTTCACAAGTGCAGCTCAGCTTATAAGAAGGTAAGCTAACCACTCCTGGTGGTGTTAGGACCTGTTCATTAGCCTGTTGTCCCTTCTCTCTAATGACTGTGGTCTGTGCGTGTCAGGATGTCCAGGTCCCAGTTTGTCCACTCTGCAACACGCCGATCCCAGTGACACGGGGACAGACACCGGATATTGTCGTCGGGGAACACATTGATCGGGACTGCAAGTCTGATCCAGCCCAGCAGAAGCGTAAGGTGAGGACTTCGCATGGCTGTCATTGTACAGAGATAGAATGATCACGATGTTTTGTTTTTCTTCTCAATAATGGATTTCGGTGTGCTCAATGTAATTTAATAATTTGGTTTATTATTTAGATATTCACCAATAAGTGTCAAAGGCTGGGCTGTAAACAGAAAGAGCTGATAAAGGTCACATGTGGAGACTGCCATGGGGACTTCTGCCTCAAACACCGACACCCGCTGGACCATGACTGTAAAGGCAAGAGCGCCCCTATCTCCCGAGCAGGGTGAGCATAACGGTCATTTGATGAAATTCTTTAAAGTGTACCTGTCCTTTCCATGGCATGGCTAGGTGGTTTTTCAAGGGGGGGGCTCTTAAAAGTTGAAGGTTATGTAGAAGAACATAACATGACTTATCTCCACTTATGTTTTAAAGTGGTATTAAACCCTTATTTTTTATTTTCTTTATACTCAAGAAGAGGAGGTTCACACATTAGCTGATTGTCTCTTTCCTTCTCCTTTCGTTACCCAAACAGCTGCACCCTCCATGTCTGTCTGTGAGTGTCTCCTTTAGCTAGTCGGCTGTTAAGGAGACACCCATGTGTGTGCGCATGCCTGGCTGGGTCCTGAGCCTAGCTGTGTGTGTCCATAAACACACACAGTGCCCGGTAAGCCATGCCCCTGCTCTCTCCTCCACCCACCTTACAGCAATTTGACTGACGGCAACTGGAGCCTATCGCTCCGCTGCTCTCAGCACACCTCTCTATAACCCCGAAGTTCAGGGAGCGGTGCACATCTTCCTAGACCTGGTGACAATAAACTAAAAGGTGAGTGTTTGGAGACGAGATCATAAAAAAGTATAGTGGAATTTTTTTAATTTCTTTACCCTAATGCAGAGAGTACATTCAGATAAAACAAACGCCTAGCATTTAGTAGCACTTTAAGGCATTATACATTGCTGAAGTCTCTTTATATCCTACCTTATGATCAATGTTCCTGATGAAATTACCAGGAGTGTAGGAGAAGCATCTTTATTTCTTAATGTGCTGTTAATTTTTACAGGCAAGCAGCATTTTTTAGAGTTCAGGCTTCTTCTTCCAAAGCCTCCGCTTCCTCCAGCCGCCCGGCACCCAAACCAGCACCACAGCCTCAGCGAAACAGGTACTGACAACTGTCTGTCCAATTACCTGTCAACAGAATTTCCCTTTGAATGTTTTAAAGAGAGCATTGCAGGCCATGCACTGCCAGACCTGCTTATGTGCATGTTTTCAATATTGCATGTTTTAATACTACCTCTATGATTTGTCGTCTTTTTTTTAACCCCTTCGTGACGGGAGACGTACACTGTACATCAAGTCACGAAGTGCCTATATGACTGGCCACGTACACTGTATGTGACGAGTTATATCAGGCTTTGTAATGCTGGTAACAGCTGATTCTCAGCGGTTACCAGTCATTAATGAATGCCTCAGTATTGAGGCATTCATTAATGAAATAATTAAGCTTTTTGTAAAAGCTTCTTCCGTTCAGTAATGAAAGAATGAAGCCGTTACATTCAAATACGGGACCGCTATTAGCAATCCCGTATTTGACAGCTGAAAATAGCAGAGAGGTAGCAGTGAGTCACCTCTCTGCTATTTGTTTTGACAGCTCGATAGCCCATGTTTAGATACATTTCACTAAAGAGATACAATGTATCTCTTTTGAGTGAAATGTATCAGTTCTGATCGTCTAGGTATGATCAAAGAGCTTTTAGTGAGATCTGAATCTGACTAAAGTCAGGATCAGTCTCTAAGGTTATTATTAGCTGTTCCTAAGTTTGGAGCAGCCTAATAGCCAAAAATGTAAAAAAGTTAATTTCTCTCCCGTTCATTGAAGGACACAGGGCAACAGATCGTAGATCCTGAATGGTAGGGTATATCGCCACCTGCAGGAGTAGGACGCTAGGCACATAACTAAAAAGACAAGACAGCCTAGGGGCGGCCCCTGCTGGTGGCCCAACCCCTCACTTGCTGACAAGTCTCCAGTTTTTTGCCTAGCGTCAGGAGTAAGGAGCTAAAACATTTTCTCTGGGAATTTTTTTCTTTTCCTCCGTTTTTTTCGCTGTTTCTTCAAGCAAGTGTCACCAGTGTTAGTGTCTTCCTTTCGGCCTGGGACGCCGCAGAGGACGGACACAAGGGTGCAGCTCTCCTCCGCCTTGCAGAGTCGGCGCTGGTGCTGGGCTGAGGCAGTGGCCTGGGTTCGTGAGTACTGCGGGGTCTCTCTTTCTTTCCCTTGCTGTGTAAATTAAATAAAGTGTAAAACAAAATTAGGAAAATAGAAATTATATATAAATATATTTTTTATACTATAATTAATATAAAAAAAAATCTAAAAAAAATTAATCAAAACTTGTGAAAAAGTGTTTTTCTTCTAGTTTATTTCCTCATTTTTTTATTTTATTCAAACTAAGTGAGGCGTTAGGTGCACATGTTTGATATAATTATATAGCCCTATCTGTCCTCTAAAAAACAATATATAATATGAGTGGGTACATTTAGTAAGAAAGTATATTACTGCTGTGGAAGAATCACACAGCAAAAATGTAAAAAGTGTGTCAGTCATTTATGAACAGAAACTGAAAAATAGCTCAGTCATGAAGGGGTTAATGAAATATCTACAGTTATTTGATGTTTCTTGATTGCATCTGCTAAAGTTCAGCCTTAATTTATGTTTTAAAAAATATTAGTTTTTTTCCACTAAAAAAAGCTAAAGACCGCTGCGCTCTATGTAAGAGCACTGCAGCACTGCAATCAGCAGGGTGTATGGCTCTGCACCATAGGGGACATAATGGAGCTTTGAGCCACAAAAATCAGATATTCAGAATGTAATATTATTTTGATGTACCTTCAGCGTCTTGCTTTAAAGGAGAACTATGAGGTGAGTGCTTTTCACTCACCTCATAGTTCTAACCGACCTGTGGCAATGAGACTGTCACAGGTCGGCTCAGTAGATCGGGAGGTGAGCGAACACATACCGGTGTTCGCTCACTTCTCGATCCTGTCACGGCTGGATTCCCCCCACTCCGATCCGCCAGAGCTGACTGGCGGAACGGACGTGGGAGGGGGCGGGAACAGCTGGCTCTGCCTCTATATAGGCAGAGCCAGCTGTCACTCACGCAGCTGGGCGAATCCAGACATCGATGTCGGGATCCGCTGCGGCGTCTCAGTATACCGCGAGCTGCAGCTCGCGGTATACTGAGCCTAGGGTAACGGGAGGAAGCTAGTTTGTGTCCTCCCGTTACCCTAAGGAGAACTATGGGGAAAAGCCCTGACCCCATAGTTCTCCTTTAATAAAAAACAGACTACAATTGGGCTTTAAGTAATGCAAGAAATGACATTGTGTAGGTTTCTTTTCTTTTTTTTTTTTTCTTGAACAGTATTATACCTGTCTGTTCTGTACAATGACCTATAACCTTCCTCTTTCAGGACGAGTGTCCCCAGTGCACAGCCCCCAGTCTCAGTTGTGCTACAGAATGGATTAGTAAGTGTCTGCTCATTCTTTGAAGATTTGTGTTGTCATGACCCCTATAGCAAAAGTCTTCATTAATTTGCATTCATAAAATGAACTAAACCGATCTAACAACGTATTACCCTAAATAGAGAAATACTGGAACAATAAACAATAATCAATATAAAAAAATACCTGGACAAATATTGTATCTTATTCATATATTCATGAGCAAGAAAGAAACCAAACCTAAAAAAACTTCACTTCCTTTAGAAAAAGAATCAGAAGCTAAGTGATGGCCATGCACCATTTATTTATACGATGAGTACTGTTCCTAATGGACTACTACGTCTTCTTAAAGAAAAATACATTCTGGAAGGTGTGCTAAAAAAACAAGCCGGCAGAGGGCAAAGTCACCAGTATTGCCGGCCATGTCCCAGCAGCTGATATTTCCCCCATCACTGACTTACCGTGCCTTGTTCTGCACTGTAGAAAGATATGGACACCGGCACTCCAACAGTAAGTAGAATACGTCTATTTATTGACGTACATGCAGAAGAGTATAATGCGCTTAGTGCGACGTTTCGGGGGTCACATAGGATCCCCTTCATCAGGCAAAACAAGTTGTTTTTCACTTGTTTTGCCTGATGAAGGGGATCCTATGTGACCCCCGAAACGTCGCACTAAGCGCATTATACTCTTCTGCATGTACGTCAATAAATAGACGTATTCTACTTACTGTTGGAGTGCCGGTGTCCATATCTTTCTGCATTATTGTGACGGTGGCCATCCGTCGACTACTGAGCACCCATGCTACTTTGATGGACAAGCGGTCAGGAGTGCAATGGGTACATGGATTGTTCTGCACTGTGTCTCTGTGTGGAGGCAACCATCTTGGTAGCCGCAGGGCCTCATCATGTCAGATCCCCCAGCAAAGAGAACAGTGAGCAGCACAGTAATGACGACACCAAATTTCCCTCCAAATCGCCTGACACTATTAGTCAGAGGGAGAAGTGCCTGAGATCTCATACTGCAGGTATACAGCTATAAGGCTGCAGGTTCAATTTAAAAAAAATGCTTCTCTTTCTCTCTCTTTGGCCACTCCTCTTTGTATGTTAATGAGAGGGATCTCAGTCTGTCCTTAGCCACTCTATTAGGAAAGTCAAAGTATTCTGTTACTGAAATTAAAGTGACATTAAACCCTCAGATTTTTTAACATACACCAATACTGTAATGTGTGCCTCACTGTAATCCATGGTAGTTTCCCTTCTCTTTGCTGCTCTTCCTTTTAAATCCTTCTCTCTTCTCATGCTGGTCAGAACTTCTGTTTTTGCAGCAGACTGCCTTGTCTCTGGAATGGATACATGGTGTCTGTGTGCAGGTTCACAACCTGAGCCAGCACTACAGGAAGAGGCACTCAGCTGCAAAGGGAAGTTCTCCCCCAGCATGAGAAGAGATAAGGATTTAAAAGGAAGAGCAGCAAAGAGAAGGGAAACTACCATGGATTACAGTAAGGCGCACATTACAGTATTGGTTTATGTTAAAAAATCTGAGGGTTTAATGTCACTTTAACTGACCCGCTTGCAATGCCTAGAAATCCTGAGTTAAGGCTGGATTGGGGCTAGAACACTCAGCGTCTCCTTATGGCAATGCGGCCAGCTGATTGGATCTGAAGAGAACGCACTTTATTTATTAGAAACGATTCCCATCAGTCCAACGGTATCAAAACCTACCAGACTTTCTCTCCTTTCTTTTGAAATGTGTCTGTCACGATCATAGTGGTAGCAGCCTACGACCAGAAGCAGGTCCAGGCTCTCATCGTGGATTTACTTCCTTCAAGGAGAAAGTTCTTTGTTCATTAGAACCCATTCCCATCAGTTCAACGCTATCACATACCGACTAGACCCTCGGAGCTGCAGTGATGCACTAGTATAATGAACGGGGAGACGCAGGCATCCATCACACTTGAAAGTGTTGGATGCTGATGTTCCTGGCAACGCCTAGAACTCAAGAATAGAGTAGAGATTCTAATGGAAGGTATAATACATGTATTTAGCAATTTTGTCTTTGTTTTATGTGTGTAAAAACTGTGCCTCTTTAAATTGGGTTTGATTTTGTTTTAACTACAAGCATTCTCTGTCATGCACTGAACATGCGTGTTTTTTCAGTCCGAAGAGGAAGCCTTACAGAGGGCTCTGGAAATGTCACTAGCGGAATCGGCGCAGAGCACGCCTCAGCAGAACAGGTAAGGCGAAAGGTTGTGCTGCTGGAAGAGTGGGGTTGTTCGGTAAATATTGAAGAACAAAGGGTGCTGGTGACCCCTCTTGGGCTTTTTTATGTTTCCAGAGCTGCATAGCAGGATAAGAGGGATGTGGTTTCTGTACGACAGAACAACTGCATTACTATTATGGTTTCCAATTACATCAATCTACCATTTTATATGATCATTCAGTGAAGCTTAACTGATTGAAATAAACATACAAACCAAAGACCTTCCAGTTCGATCGATTTAGTGAGCTCTCCAACGATTTTGATTCTGCCATGTTGATCGGCCATGGCGGAGTGTGTTGATCGCTTCTGATTGATCTAACAACTCTGTGTGTGTGTGTTTGGAGAACCCATTGTAACTAAGGGTAATTAAATGATCGTTTTTAATCGATCGATTACTTTTATAACTAATTGGGCTTATTTTCGATTTCTACTTTCTGTCCATTGCAAAGTACAGAACAATACCATTGTATTGTTTATTATTTTAATCAATGAATCTCTTGCTTGAGATTGCGCTTACCTAAATTGACCACTAATCACTACTTGTACGGCTTCCTTAAAGTGACATTAAAGGATATTTTTTCCCTCCCCCCCAATGTTAGTGTCAGGACTTATTTCTGTCCTCCTCTCCTCTGACGTCCCACAGAGTCTGTGCGGTACATCAGTTTAAGACGCTTCTGAAATCATTCCAAATTCATTGGCAGGCGCATCTGACCTTTAGTTGATGACATTTGACCTGCTTCAAGCTCGTTTTGCATGCCCATAGACTTGTATGAGAAAGCAAAACCCAGTTGAAGCGAACCATAGCCCGTTGACACAGGTTCTGAGTGTACTGGTTGTGCAGCATGAATAACACCGAACTTAAAAAAAATTTCTACACCAGATTTATGACCAGATTGTAAAGCTGCACATAAGATGAGTAGACTATTACAATTATGTGGTAAATCTGTAATCTTGCGATATAAAATGGCGGCGTAGTTCACAACTTTGTAGAATAACATATAAATATGTTTCAATAAAGAGACCACATACTGTTCATATCTTGAAATCGATGTAATTAGAGACCTATTAGTTCCTACACAAAACAGACCTGCACAGTCCTTTGGGTAGCCTCAGAATATAGCCAACAAAGTGAGCAGATTATGTATTACATTGTGAAGGAAATATGACAGATTGAGTCTTCAGCATTTCCTGGTTAGAAGCAACCTGGGCAATGCTCTATCCTTCGAAATCATCCAGGGATATTACTGTCATCAGGCTTTTATCCCCATAATCTGTCCTACCCTCCTCAGCTTCACAGGAAACGCTTCACAAGTCTGCATCAGTTGTCTACCTGCTGCCTGATATTTGCACAGATGAAATGCAAGAATAATAGAGTTGCCAGTAATTCTAAATAAGGAAGCCTATGTTGCTTGGAATGAGAAAATGTTGGGGAATATATACCATCCTATGCACAGTAAGTTGATGAGGGCTACAGTTGGACTATCAGTGTCCTCTGCTCAGCCCCAATGCTAGGCTATACTAATCAGGCAAATGCTCTGATGGTGACAGGGTCCCTTTAATTCTGAAAAGAGACTCAGAACTAGAGGCTGTAATATATTTCCCTAAATAAGTGAGCTGTCAGCGAGCACTTTAAAGCAAATGGTGTTCTTGTGTGTCTTATTGCTAATGTTATATGTGCTTTTATCTCTCAGCACTCAGGAAGAAGAGGACTTGGCTCTAGCCCGAGCTTTGTCAGCTAGTGAGGAAGAATACAGACGTCAACAAGCGGTCAGTACAATTGAGATTCCTCTTGAATCAAAGGAATGGGAGGAATGGGAGGTAAAGCCTTGAAATAAAGGAATGGGAGGTAAAGCCACATAATTATAGGTTTAAATATGACTGGGATTGTTTAGTCAAGGGCAGCAGTGATATGTAAAGTACACTAACCCATACTGCTTAATGCTCAATACATATGAATGGAAATCAAACCTTTATAAGGGAGCTGTTATATATAGTGGGGGGGGGATTTACCAAAACAAGAGCAGACAGAATCTGGAGCAGTTCTGCATGACAACCAATCAGCTTCTCTCTTCAGTTTGCTCAGGTAAGATTTAAAAATGAGACGGAGAAGCTGATTGGTTGCAGTGCAAATCTGCTCCAGTTTTGATCAATTTCCCCCAGTAAGTCATATAATTTGTATTTCCATCTAACCGGTCCCGAGATTTACATCGCCTTATCTCTAACTGTACAGCCAAGTTGGTTACCTAACTTATTTCTTCTGCAGTTAAAGTGGGTCTAAACCCACAGATATAAAGCCCTTACCAGGGTCAGAGCAGTTAAACTTTCTTTTTCCACGAAAGCAACCCCATGTTATGCTGGCTTTTGTCTACATCCAGCAAATCTGCTTGTTCACGTGCCGGGATTAGTAGAGCTCCCAATATACTTCCGGACCAGTCGGATGTAAGCGCTCATACATCCCAGCTCTGAGGTTATGTTTCCATCTCCCTCTTCTCCTTGCCATTCACAAAACACACAGCCCCAGACTTTTTGTGAATGGTCAGAAGAAGAGGTGTTGGGGACACATCTGCATTGCTGGAATCTATGGGACCTGCAGAAGTTGCCTCCAAGTGGCCTGGAAGTGCATCAGGGGCTGTACTAATCCTGGAATGTGAATGAGCATATTTGCAGGATGTAGGAGAACGCATGCATGCTGGGGGATTTCTTTTGAGAAAATGAGTGTTTTACAGCTTCAACCCTGGTAAGGTTATTGTGCCCAGGGTGGGTTTAAAAAAGAAAAGCCCAAACTAAGGTGTAAGCCACATCCAAGACACGCATTTTGTGATGATGTTCTCAGTTGCCAGTGTGCTTACTGATGCCCTGAAGTGCGCTTTCCAGCGTTCAAATGGCTGGTGTCGGAGCTGATCACATGTGCAACACCTAAGGCTATAATAGCGCGTTCTTTAGCTGCAAAAGGGGGTTTAGTTCCACCTTAAAGTGACACTAAACTCAGGAGTTAAATCTTAAAAATGCTTTCAAGTACCTTAACTATTAACAAAAATGTATCTTATTTGTGTATCACTCGGCTGAAGATCAATCTAGGGTGACGGGAGGACGCTAGCTTGTGTCCTCCCGTTACCCTAAGGAGAACTATGGGGAAAAGCCCTGACCCCATAGTTCTCCTTTAAGCTTGGCCACCTTCCTTTCTTCCCTCAGCCTGTGACTGGATAGTGCATGAGCTGCAGTTCTCTGCATTGCTCTCTTCTCATGTCAGCATGTCCCTGCAGAACACCTTTGCTGTGATTGCTCTCCCTCCCTCTCCCAGGCTGAGCTTTTCAGGGAAACACAAAAGGTCAAATACCAAGTTAAGTTTATGTGCTTACATTAGCTGCAGTTGGAAATGGAATTCATTATTTGTTAATGAGTATATAACTGCATTCATTAGTATTGTTTTATATCTGATTTGGAGTTCAGCTTTCAAGTGAAAGGAAAACATTAATGATGGAATGATGTGACTACAATGTGTTATCTATATAACTTTTGATTTTGCAATGTGTAACGTAATGTGCCTTCATATTTTTACTTCACCATTTTATTTCATTTGTATCCTAATGTGACACCTCTGGTAGAACTCTCACTATATACAAGGTACCAATAGACCAGCTCCAACCAATCAATACTAACCTTAGTTTAAACAGCAATCTTTAATATTTTTCCCTCCAGTTCTCTAACCAACACGCATAGGATGTTGCACCTATTACAGGAGGTAAGTGCTGAACTGATTCTGAATTTTTTTTTTCTGGCCAACTCGTACCTTGTATGTAACACTGGGTCACTTGTGTGTACACTGCGCACTACTCTCTATGTTATAATATATCGGCTGTTTTACTTGCTGTACTATTTATGTTTAGGGGCCGAGTCGTGATGCCAAACAGAGTACATGTAATATGTGCTAGCACAGCACGGGACCAGCACCCAACTTCAAGCACAGAAGCAGGAACTACAATACAATCCTGAGCTTCAACCATAACTCTGGGTTTTTTTCTTCAGAACGGACACAATATGTGGATGGTGTTTTGCATGCCTCAGATTCTATCACTTCTTTTCCTGTGGGCTGTATAGGCCACTTGTCTGGTCTCATTAGCTGAAAGTAAGGAAGGTATAAACTGTTTGACACTGTAGAAGCCATTTTGTTGGATCATCATGAGAATGCAGCTACTCTTATTAAGTAGATCTGGCGATTATATCCGAGGCAGAGTTGGATCTTCCACAAGCCAACCTAGATGGGTGCGTAGGGCCTGATGGATGTCTAGGGGGCCCCACTACAACTTCCATGGAAAGGGGATTGCACAAGTGGTCAAAGCTGTGTACCTACCTGTCATATTTATATAGTCCTTCTCCCTCTGGCAATTCAAAGTGCATATCAAACTGGTGTTGGGGTAGATAGAAGGTGAGACAACCATCTTGGGTAAAATATCATACAGGTACAATTTAACCTACCAGCATGTTTTTAAAGTGTGGCAGAAAACTGGAGTACCCAGAGCAATCCAAAGTACCAGGAGGAAACCCATGCAAGCACAGGGAGAACATGCAAACTCCATTTAGAAAGTGTCCTGGCTGGGTTTGGAAATGAGGACCCCAGTGCTGCAAGGCAGAAGTACTAACCACTAAACCACTGTCAGCCCTTGTGGCCAGTTGATGTCTGACGGAGCCATGTCAGCACAGACAATGCAAATGGGTTGACTTCTTCCTGGCTATTTCAGTCCCGAAAGAGGCACTGTCACCTTCCCATTCAGGGCAAAGAGACACTGACTTTGTTTGAAGGCCCCCCCCTCCACTAATTCTTCTGGCCTTGCCAACACTGCTGCTGCTTCTATCACAGCCTGGGACACTTCCCAGTAGTTGTGCGTATGAAGGACCATGTGAACCACTGTGGTAGAGCTTGTTCTGGTAGCCAATCACTATGCAGGAGCACTGTCACATGACAGGGGAATGACATCATCCGTTCTCTTAGCATCTGACACAAGCCGGCATCTTGTATTTCAGTGCTGGCTATGGCACAGGCAAGAGCTGTGAAGGGGCACTGGTAAAGTGAGTGCAGGCGAGGTGACAGTGTCAGTCAAAGTCATGGAGCAGGGAAAGCTTTGCTGCTACTCTGTCTGTGGCCCATTCTTCCTTAAAGGAGAAGGCTTTTCCCCATAGTTCTTCTTAGGGTAACGGGAGAACACAAACTAGCGTCCTCCCGTCACCCTAGGCTCAGTATACAGCGAGCTGTAGCTTGCGGTAAACTGAGACGCTGAAGCGGATCCCAACAATTATGTCGGGATCCGCCCAGCTGCGTGAGTGACAGCTGGCTCTGCCTATCTAGAGGCAGAGCCAGCTGTACCCGCCCCCTTCCCCGTCCGTTCCGCCAGTCAGCGCTGGTGGATCGGAGCGGGGAGGGGGGAATCCAGCCCCTCCCCTGTCACGGCAGAGAGCCGTGACAGGATCGAGAGGTGAGCGAACGCCGGTATGTGTTCACTCACCTCCCGATCTACTGAGCCGACCTGTGACAGTCTCATTGTCACAGGTCGGCTAGAACTATGCGGTGAGTGAAAAGCACTAACCTCATAGTTCCCCTTTAATATGTGCTTTTGCATTACGCATTCTCTTTAGCAGTACTTGAATCCACAGAATGGCTCTCCTGTGTATGTAGGTAACACGTTTTCTCTATAAGTGATCATCTTAAAAATTTCCAAAGAAACTATATATATTTTATCAGGTATCACCAGTGAGCAAGCCTTTTAGTCCTGTCTGCCATGCAAACATGATCTGCACATTCATTCATTTCCATTCCTGCTGCTTGAAAAAAAAAAAAATGAAAGAGCCTTTTTATAGATTTATCTAGAAATACAAAACTCTGGTATGCCTGCTGCTGCTTTTATAGCACTGCTTCCAGCCTGCTGGGATTTGTAGTTCAGCAGCCGTGTGCAAGCTGAAGGCTTCCTTCCTACTTAATCGATTTGGTGCTACAATGTTTGTAATCTGGCGTGGCTGGTTTATAGAAACTGCAGTAAAGGAGAAATAACTGATGGCTAGCAATCAGGTTTGAGGAGAACCGGTCACGACTGGGCTAATACAAGAAACTAAACTTCAGCCTCGGTTATACTCAGCAATTCACGCAGCTTTGCTTAAATCAATTTAAAAGAGGAGTAAGATTAAGGGCGAGATAGTCTGTCACAGTGGCAGAAGCTTTGCTGCCTCCCTGATACATTGCCGCTACGGAGCCAGGATTCCGGGTATGGGGAAGCATGTGACTTTCCCCATGTGACAGTGCTCAGGCCTGTGCGGCAAGGTGCCGAACCTGGACACTGTCACATAGTGAAGGGCAGTGTCACCATCCCACCTGGGTAACCTCTTACTCTGGGGCTCCTGCAGCTGGCAAGGAAGTGTGTATCGGTGAGTATAATTGCTGCAGGTGGGCTAGTGACAGTGCCTCTTTAAATTATTATAACTGTGGATGCTCACTTATGAGTTCTCCCCCTTCCTTAGCTTTACTTAAGCTGGTCCTACTAATTAGTCCGGAATGTGACCATTGTCTGACCCTGTCGGGACCCCCTGCTCAGCCGCCCCCCACCCACCCCTGGTTTGACAGTCAGTTTTTCAGTTGACTTTTGCTGAAGGAGAACTATGGGGTCAGGGCTTTTCCCCATAGTTCTCCTTAGGGTAACGGGAGGACACAAACTAGCGTCCTCCCGTTACCCTAAGCTCAGTATACCGCGAGCTACAGCTCGCGGTATACTGAGACGCCGGAGCGGATCGCGACCTGGACGTCGGGATCCGCCCATCTGCGTGAGTGACAGCTGGCTCTGCATATCTAGAGGCAGAGCCAGCTGTACCCGCCCCCTCCCCCGTCTGTTCTGCCAGTCAGCGCTGGCAGATCGGAGGGGGGAATCCAGCCCCTCCCCCTGTCACGGCAGAGAGCGGTGACAGGATCGAGAGGTGAGCGAACCCGGTATGTGTTCGCTCACCTCCCGATCTACTGAGCCGACCTGTGACAGTCTCATTGTCACAGGTCGGCTAGAACTATGAGGTGAGTGGAAATCACTCATCTCATAGTTCTCCTTTTAAGGGGTCAGTCTGAAAAAACTCAGCCAAACAGTGACTGCAGCTGCACTGCGCTATTGGGGTATTCTGACAGCAGCACTGTGCTATTAGAGTATTCAGACAGCAGCACTGTGCTATTAGTCCTCATTCACACGAGTAACGGCTGGCCTGTACAGATCCGTGCTGCGTGCACGGCCGTATCGGGCCGCTCCCGGGAAGGACAGGTGCTGCATGTGATTGTATGCAGCAGCCTGTTCTTCTCTATGGGAGTATGCGGCCGTACGCCGCCCTAGGCTCACCCGAATTGCACGTCGGTACGGGTGTCCGTGCTCGAACGCTGACAGGATGGATCCTGTCTGCCTCTGAGCAGGGACACCCGCACCTGTACGGATGTGCAGTTTGGGTGAGTGTTGGGTGACGTACGGCCGCATACTCCCATAGAGAAGAACAGGCTGCTGCATACAATCACATGCAGCACCTGTCCTTCCCGGGAGCGGCCCGATACGGCCGTGCACGCAGCACGGATCTGTACAGGTCAGCCGTTACTCGTGTGAATGAGGGCTTAGGGTATTCTGT